CTGGGGATATTCACAAATATCTTCTTGCCTTCCAGAACAATGCTATCAAGGTTACATGCCAGAATACGAGGGTCGTGTACCTTACAAAATTTTGCGAAACCGAATCTGTTTCCTCGCTTATCCCTCTTAGCGGAGATGAAAACTTCTGAGATTACTCCATAGACCTTAAAGACCTCAAACAGATCTCTAGCATTCAACTTTTCTGGGAATGCGGTAACAAAGAAGGAAGTCGTATTATCACCATTAATATCTCCCTTACCTCTATTCTCCTTCCAAACAGAGAAACCACCATGAGATCCTTTCCTAGCATTCCTAGCGACCTTCTCCCAGACCATGATAGGACCGCAGTTCAATCCAAGAAAATCAGGTGGTTACCAAGGCCCCTAAACTCGAAAGCTAGGAATTTAAGGCGAAGATAACCTCCTAACCTTCGAAGGATCAAAACAAGCAGCTACAAATCTGAATAAAAACAAGGAACGAGGGATGGATTAGGGGATGAATTATGAAATTGGGGTTAGGGTTAGGTATTGGGGGTTTTCCTGTTCATCACACACACTACTTAGTTAGTTAATTTTAATTAACACTTCCCCACTTACTCTTCCGTCTTTAATTAACACTCTTGTTGCAGCCCGCAAAACACCTTTTGATAAAGCAACATACAATTCTCCGTGACTAAAAACATGTCGTGGAAGATAAATTCCGACATTTGGAATTGTTTTCCCTTGGGATTTATTTATAGTGAGTGCAAAGCTTAGTTTGACAGGAAACTGTTTTCTAATAAGCACAAAAGGAAGTACCGCACCTTCAGTGGTTTTGAGCTTAACTCTTAGCAAGAAAACTCTTTTTCCAGCATTATGGCCTGTAAGTATTTCAACATCAAACAAATTCATAAAAAAACCACGACATAACAACCTTGTCCCATTACACAACCCAAATTTAGGGTCTATGTTTCGCAACAACATCAGTGGAGCCCTTATTTTTATCTTTAAAATATGTGGCGGTAAAACACCAGGAGCAATTGTGTGCAAGTATTCCTGTTGATATAGATTATGAGTATCACCCTCAACCTCATCAAAAGATAACAAAATATGTTCATCTCCAGGGAATTTATCAATAATCATGTCATTCAACATATGCACATCACAATTTTTTGGAGTAAGTATCGCTCTCTCCACCATATATGAAGCATCCCATCCATGGTTTTCTAATTGGGGGAATGTATGTTGTATAAGCTTTTATATGGAGCTTTCTCCTTCCCAAGGTATTACAATTTCAGGAGGCATTATGACCATGTCATCCTCTTTAGTAGGTTCATTACCATCTCCAATCCTCATCAGAAACTGCGCAAAGTCCTAGTCATGAATTGATTGCATGTTTTGGCGCAAATGTAGGACCTTTGTGGTGGCCCATAATCGAGACCTAACAATACATGCTAAAATCATTTGTCCTCTATTTCCTTTTTCAATAACTGGTAGCACCTGACGAAAATCTCCGCCCATGATCATTATTTTTCCACCAAATGGAGCATTATTATTCATGATGTCTTGAAGTGATCGATCCAATGCTTCTACACAATATTTATTTATCATGGGTGCTTCATCTCAAATGATTGCATTGGTTATTCTAATGAGTTTTGCAAGGTCAAAATTCTTTGCTATTTTTCAAATAGAATGGAGCTCTATATCAATGGGGATCCCAAATCGAGAGTGTGCAGTTCTACCACCAGGTAATAATGTAGCAGTTATACCAGAGGAAGTTGTTGCTAAGACAATTTCATTATTACGCCTCAAATTTGCCATTATAGTTCGATAAAGGAAAGTTTTACCTGTCCCTCCAGGACCGTCAACAACAAAAATTTGACATTGTTTTTGGTGGATGGAGTTCATAATTATATTGTAAGCACTCATCTGGTCATTATTTAACTTCACAACAGATTGAACGTCTTCGTTTGGAATTTGGACCGATAACTCTTCCTGAATAATTGTTGGCACTCCCCCGACTTCATTTGTTTCTGTTGTCAACATTGGAAGATCGTAGTTTTTTATTAGTTTTCCATGCAGTAGCAAAAGATCCCTCAATTCCCTCAATAACATATTTTCAAAGTTATCCCCGACAACAACATTTGTCATTTGATAATCCTCCACCATGTAGGGATAAAACTCATTAAATAGGCCTCTAACATCAGTTGGTTCACAAAAAATTAATATAGTCACAAACAAACTTCGTAAAGCATATGGCATACGCATATTTGATGCTTTAAGCAAACATTCACGAATACTATTATCACTCTCTAATAACCCCCAATCCTCAGTTGATTTTTTGAATGTGAAAAAACATGCACCATTATGTGTAAGAAGGTATTCCCAGCTTGTTGGACCTCTTAAATGAAACAACAAAACACGTAAATAATATTTCTCACCTTCTGAAGGTGATAATGTATAGATTCGACCAATAACTTTTCGTTTTCTCTGTCTTCGCTGCCATTTTTTGACCCCTTTTAGCCAACAATAATGCTCTAGAATCTCTCTGTACAAATAATTCATAGCATATGGATCCATTTGGTTTAGTGCAAAGAATTCAGTGAGCATGGTTACTGCATTCTGGTTATCATTTAGCACATCTGTGATTCTTTGATGCTTATAAAACCGCACTTGATGATGATTTGGCAAGTGGATTTGTAGTCTTTCAACAGAGGGATATAACTTGTAAAGTGTGAATTTAAATATTTTCCACAATGCCTCTGGAGCACAAATCCATCTTGCATCAACATATTGTTGAATCTCATCCAAAGTTGTACCTCTGTGAACTTCCATTGCAACTCGATCAGGACCATTGTAAACATATTTATACAAATATTTAATGCTTTTGATACTGCTGCAAATCTTGACATTGATGTGACAATCATACTTCAACAACAACCATGGGTTATGAGGAACCACCCATCTATTATCAATAGACTTATTTCTATTTAGAAAAGTCGGATCACTAAACCTTCTTCTGTATTCCGGGTATGAGTCATTTCCCTAACGCGTTTCTTCACAAAATTCTTTTGGGTATCTTTTTTTACAATGACCATTCTTCATACATGGAGATTTTTTATTCAATACTCCACATGGACCATGGATCATGTGTTTTAACACCGCTTCATACAATTCTGTTTCAGACTCATGTCGTGGTATTTCTGCTTTCACCATACTATCATACTCTTCAGGTTCCCGTAACTTGTCATCAGTATCCAAGATGAGTAGCATATGCACATGTGGTAGTCCACGCTTCTGAAATTCTGTTACATACATATAACTTCTAACTCTCCCTAAGACTCCCTTATTAATGACATCATCCTTCAAGTGCTCAAATTTTGATCGAAAAATTCTTGTTAGCAAATCAGGTTGATCTTGTGGAGTTTGATGGATGCCTAATTCGGAAGTTATCTCAATCCAGGAAGGATTGCATGTCATTGTAAGGAATATATCTGATTTACCATCATTAAGAACAATAGCCATACCATCTTGATATATTTGTGGCATGTCTCGCTTACTTCCAATAAATGATGATGTTAATATTGTCCTTTGTCCAACATTATCTATAGAAATATATGAAAATTATAAAAAAAAATGATAGTGGTAAACATAAAGTGGATGCTCTTCTTGTATAAATCTAACATGTTATATTAAATACCTGCGTTATTCTCCCCATCGTGCAATGCGTCTTGTAACCCCTGATATACCTCAGACCGAATATTATTTTGATTTCTTCGAATCCATCTCAACCTTCCTGTTTCAATCTTTACATAATTGTCTACAACATACTGTTGTAAAAGTCGACCCGATTTTAACAATACAAATTGATCATTATGTCGAATCTACATTGAAAAAAATAATCAATCATGACCTATGTTTTTACCATTTTAGAAGTAAATTTCTTTAAAAAAAAAGTTTAGCATGTACCTGAAGCACATAATTGTAGTACTCTCGGCATGTAACATTTTTTCCAACATTATTTTTTGTTTCTATGTCCCAACTATATATTCCGAACGGAAACAATATAGGATATTGTAAAGGATCATAATACCCAATTGTTTCTTGAACCTTTGTTAGATTTCCATCACAGCTGATGACATTTATATCTCTTCCACATTCTATTGTATCTTCATCACCACCACCAATAACAATTGCTGCAACTTGAGAAGCTGAAGGGAGACTATACTGTGGCTGATTTGATGAACGTTCTTTAATGAGTAACCTACATTCTTCAACATTTGGCTCTAGTGCCAGCTGCCTAAACATGATGACAAACGGGTTGCATTGATGGAGTATTTTTTTCAATTTATACACTATGGCTTGGTTAAGTATTGGGATTTCCCTCATCCTATTTTGAAGCTCATGATCAGTATCATAAATGTATAGCTGTAAGTAGCGTGGCCTTGAACCTTGATTCGGATGAAAACCTCCTATTTTGTGATAAATTGTGCCTTGAGCACGAAATGTATAAATACCACGACCAATTATAACCAAACTTTCGTCGACGTGGACACCAAGTGAAGTAAACGACATTACATGGTTGTAACTTCTAATATGTTGTCTAAAATGCCGTCCTTCAGTAGAAGTGTTTGAAAATAACTGTAACAACTCGTCAGGAGCAGGCACCTGTGTAATTGTCACCTTTCCACCCTTGCAACACATATCTTGAGATTCTTTATGAAACAATTTTGCAGTGCATCGTCTACACTCACTTGAAGTAGGTAGTAGGGATTTGATTGTCATAACAGTATTTCAAAAATTTCTAGCAATGTTATGTCTTGCTTGAAAAACATACCGTGATTTTGTGTTTTATTACATTTAAAACATCCATTATAAAAGTATACATATTATATACATGGTTACTAACATGAAATTTATAATTTTTTTTTTGGAATAAAGAAACTTTATATAAAACAAAAGAAAGAGGAATATACAAGGGTACAAATGACCCCAACCACAAAACAACCAAATAAACCACACCTACTCTAAAAGCAATTGAGCTATATGATGTCTCATTCTAGTATTAACCCAACCTCTATTTGCAAGGGTAGAAATGACTAAATCTCTAATCTCCAAAATATTCACCGTATTGCCAAAGACGGCATTGTTGCGATACCTCCAAACTTCATGGATGGTCTCCGCTACAGAGCTACGCAATATGCACTTCCTCCAGCCTTTCCCTTTACAATGTGTGATTAACCACTTAAGTGCTTCACGCCAATCACAAGGGAAATGTTGATACCCCAAACACACCAGATATTGTTGCCAACAGGTTTTAAACGGCGGGCATTCAAATAAAAGATGGTCAACTGTTTCCTCCTTGTCGCAGAATTTACAGCTGTCGTCGGTCGTAAGGCCAAGCCTTTTTAGCCGTCCCTTTGTCACAAGTCTATGGTGGCTAGCCATCCACATAGTAAAAAGGGCTCTCGGTCTAGCAATAGTGTTGGATAACATGTGTTTCCATCCAATCAGGATCATCCTTCTTGAGGTACTGGTACACTTTTCCCACCGAGTATTTCTCCTTCATTCCGTTCCAATCTTCCATGCCATTAATGATGATTCTATGTCTAAGAATAGCTTTTAAAATCCAAGACATACCCTGTTTTTCCTTGACCCGCATAATAGCTGTTGTTTTGAAATAAAATGCGTGGATCCATTTCACCCAAAGAGAATCCTTTTTGTTGCAAAGGTTCCACAACAGTTTTGTTAAACAAGCCGCGTTCCATTCTGGTAAGTCCACCACATCCAGACCGCCATCCCTCCGAGGCTTACAGACCATCTTCCACGCAATTGGGGATTTTCTCGACTTCTCCTCGCTGCCTGTCGACAGAAAAGTCCTGCAAATAGAATTAATGGTTTTAATCACATGCTTGGGGAAGGGGAGGCAACTCATCCAGTATGCTGCTATAGCAGTAATGGTGCTATTAATCAGCTAAAGCCTTCCTGCATAGCTCAGTAATTTGGAGCTCCAATGACGAATCCGCCTAACAATTATGTCCACCAAACTCATATAATGATGCGTTGAAAGCCGTTTACAGGTGAGAGGAACACCCAAGTAACGAAAAGGTAAATCCCCTTCCATAAACGAAGTAGAAGCCAAGATGTCGTTTTTGGTCTCATTATTCACCCCCCCGAAGTACATCCTACACTTCGCAGGGTTAACCACTAAACCAGTGGACTGGGAGAATGTTTGCAGTTTATCCATAAGTAACTTAACAGACTTGTTGTCCCCACGGGTAAAGAGGAGAACATCATCCGCAAAACTGAGATCAATAATTTGCAACTTTTCACACTTTGCATGGAAGTTGTAGTTAGGGACCTTGCTTGACTAGCGCAGGAATCTGTGGAAGTACTCCATAGTTAAAATAAAAAGAAGGGGGGATATAGGGCCACCTTGTCTAAGGCCCCTTTTTCGCTTTCATGCTTCTAGTAACACTACCAGCAACATTGAACTTGTAAGACACTGTTGACACCGCCAGCATAATCCATTTGGTGAATTTGTGAGGGAGACCAAATTCCTTGAGGATACACTTAAGAGCATACCAATCCAGGGTATCATAGGCTTTTTGGATGTCAAGCTGCAACAAACATCTAGGAGTACCACCCTTTCTGCTGTAGCCTTGAATTAGCTCGTACGCTAATAAAATATGATCATGGATGTTCTGTTCAGGAATGAAGGCAACCTGGATTTGATTGATAATACTGGTAAGAACCTTGCTCAACCTTCTAGTCAAGATTTTTGATATGATTTTGTAAAGTGTAGTACAGCAGGATATCGGTCTAAAGTCCTTCACACAATTACCACCATTACCTTTAGGAATCAAGGATACAAGAGTACAGTTAACATCAGGGTACATCTTGAAGTTTTTGAAAAAAATCCATAACTGCAAAAATGGTATCCTTTTTAATGATACTCCCTGAAGCTTTGAAAATTTTTGCCCCAAAACCATCAACACCAGGGGCTTTTAGGTCACCAATGTCATGTAGGGCACTATAAATATCTACTTCAGTGAGGGGACATACCAACATATCTTTCTGTTCACTAGTAATGTGAGGGCCATCTCTCATTACAGTCAGGTTTATACCCTCCATGTCATTATTAGGACACCCCGTGAGGCTTCCATAAAAAGACAACACCTCATTCTCAATGTCCTCAGTCTTGCTAAGCATGTCACCTGCCACAGAACATAGCTCAGTAATAGCTCTGCTGTTTTGTCTCGCTTTTACCTGGGCATGAAAAACCTGTCGTTGCCATCTCCTAGTCTGAGCCAACTGATTTTAGATCTCTTCCTAAGCACATGTTCCTCAATTTCACTCCAATAACATACCTCAGTTGATCTATTTTTAACAAGGTGAATGACTTCAGGGTTGTAAAGGTCCTCCTTGAGCTGCAGCTGGGCCTCTTGTAAATTCTGTCTAGCATTCTTGAGAGCAGCAGTGGCACCCAACAAAGGCTTACTAATCTTTTTCAAAACATTTTGGATTCGAAGCAGTTTCCTCCGCATTACAGACATGGGACTACCCTGGATAGGGAGATTCCAGCTATTGGCAATGTATTCTTGGAACCCCTCAACCTCAGTGGAACAGTTAAGGAATTTGAGTTAGGGGGTTTAATTCATAGTATTTTCAGGACCAGAAAGCAGCAATAACGCGTAATCAGAAATGCCAGGGGTAAGGATCTTAAGGCACATACTGATGTATTTTTGAAACCACTCAATGTTAGCCAGCCCATGGTCAATCCTAGAGTGAATGATATTGTCACCTTGCCGATTGGACCATGTGTAATAATCCCCAACAGTATCCATTTCACTAAGGCTACAATTGCTCATCATATCAGTTAAATCTGTATACTCTTTCATCTGCACCATGGATCCACCTCTTCTGTCAACAGTCTGAACAACATTGTTAAAGTTACCAATAAGGAACCATGGCCCATGTTGGTTATGGTTAATATGTTCAATATCACTCCACAACTTCTTACGATGATCTAGTCTGTTTGCACCATACACTGTTGTGAGCCAGAATTGAAAAATACCATGCATGTCATAGACACCACAATGAAGTAATTGCCCAGTGCTAGTGACTTTCCTGATATCAGTCTTAGTGTTGTTCCACCATATCCATATTCTTCCATTAGCATGATCAGCATAGTTATCCATAAACGAACCCTTAAGCTTCATTTTGCACCTAATTTTGTCAGTCTTATCTTGCTTCACTCTAGTCTCAAGCAAAATACAAATAAATGGGTTAAGATAACGGAGGCGGGAGCTAACCTCTTTAGTCTTAACCATTTTATTTAGGTCCCTCACATTCCAAGACACTAGCATTGATTAGTGTTTTGGCTGCTTCCAGGATCATTCAGAATCCCCAGCAGCCTAAAACCATTTTGGCATTGGATATTGTCATCCTCATTGGCAGATCCTTTGACCTTCCCTTTGCTGTTGCTAGTGATAATCGTCCACACCTCATCATTCTGTTGGATATCCTTATTAGTGTCACCTGTTGCTGTTGTTCCATTACTAGTGTCCCCTGTTGCTGTTGTTTCATTACTAGTGTCCCCTGTTGCTGTTGTTCCACTTTGATTAGCATTGGCTTGCACCCTTTCCTTTTGTGTCTGCTCTTTCACCTTCATCTTCCATTCTTTAGCAGGCTTAGAAGGCTTATCAAAATTATGACCGACCTTGTGGCAACATTGGTAGTAAAGTGGTTTCCACTCATACTCAATCGGCTGGTTCAGTCGTGCACCTTTTTTTGTCTCTTATCAGAATGTGTGTCTTTAGGTCTTGTGTAATGTCAATTTCCACCAGGATACGAGCATATGAAACCCTGAGCTTGTTTTTCATGCACTCGTCTGTTACCAGTGGTGTTCCTAACGCACTGCCTATTTTACTAAGGCTCTACGCGCCCCAAAGATGTAAGGGTAGCTAACATGAAATTTATAATTAATATTAAATAAAAAATGTCATTTAAACTTTTACGTGTGCATTTAAAAAGCGGGCACACAGGCACGCGAGTGCCCGTCTGGACGCTAGTATAATTTAAATAAAAAATACAATATATATTATAAATTAGAAATACATAATTGTACCTTGATCAAAAACTGACTGTGTTTCGTGAGTTTCAACCGCTGGATTCATATTTTGCGAAGGTGATTCTACAAAATAAAGTATTAACTTCAATATAGAGTTATAATTTAAAAATAACAATAATGTATAAATCTAAATATGTATTACTATTAATGTGATTACTATTGACAGAATTATACTTACCACAATCATTGTCATCAATATTTCTTATAGATGGTCTTGCTTCGTTGTTATCAGTTTGTTGAAAAATTGGGCATGGAAAATTTTGATCTGTAAATTAGTTTTGAATTGATAGACCAAACAATCATTTTTGCATAATTAATTAATATTTTATAAATTTAATGTGTTAAAGTATAATGTATAAAAAAAATTAAAGTTTCTAACCCGGGGATGGAATGCGACTGACATGTGCATTACTCGGTCCAGCTTCACTGTCATGTGCCATCGGAAACAATCGAGAAGTAAGATTGACATTCGTCAAGTCTTGAAATGGAATTATGGTACTCATATTAGAAGTATTATATGTTTGAACTTGTTTCCCTTTGTCTTTATTTTGACTGTAATTCAAACGCCTTCTAGCTAATTCTTGTTGTCTTTGCTCAACACTCATCCGTTGTCTTCGATCTCTTGCATTGTGCTCGTCTTTCCCTTTGATGCTCTCTTAAATCTTGACTACGGATATTTTTCATTATATTATTTTATCTGTAAAATTAAATGTAATATTTAAAAATTTTATAATACAAAAATGAATGTGTCGTGTACTATAGATACGATATGACATAATGCAATTCACAATTACCCAACAATGTTCAATTATTAATTCACTCTCCATCTAATCATTCTTCTACCTCTTAAAAAAATTTCTCCCATAAATTCCAAATCAATTATTATTATACGACTCTTTTTACATATATTATCACCCACTTGTGTTGTCTAAAAACACGGATCATTTTGACCCACCAAAACTTGAATTCACGTGATTCCATCTACTTCATCCTCTCTCTAAATACAAAATTCCAAAGAAATAATTCTTCCTAATTTTTTATAAATATTATGAATATCATAAAGTTGTAATATGTAGAATTCAACTAAAAAAAAGCATGCCCTATACACTTTTTTATATTGTCAATCGCAAGTTTGTCGTGAAATAATCTTTCATGAGAATAAGCATTTCCCTTCATGATATTGTCATATATTTGTCCTAAATAAAAAAATTTCCAACTTAAAACAACAACTAAAATATAGAATGTACCTTTGTGAATAATAAGGTGACTCACGTACGAGGATATAGCACCAACAACTAAAATAAACTGAGAAAAACATGATTAATAGTTCGTGAGAAAAGCAACATGGTGAAGAGACGAAAAGAGCATCTGCAATCAAATTGAAAGGCATACATGTAGGTTAATTTGATAGAGTCAATTTAAAAGATGTACAAAATTCTAAACTATTAATATGGTTAAACTATGATGTTCCTACCCTCTTGATTCTAAGATAGGCATGTCATACATATTTTCCATTTATGTCTTAATCCATTTATTTGTAGTTGTGGGTTCACTCGAAACATAACTATTACATTCATATCACCTTGTTCAACTCAAACATAACTCAATTCACCTTTAACCAACAATATTTTAAAAAAATCATTCACGTATTATAAAACACTTAAAGGTGAATAATAATAAATAAATTGTTTGTGCATATTTTCATACTGTTTTTCCATGGAAGGAAGATAACCGTCACCGGTACCGCATATGCCATCGTAGTCGATTGGTGGAAGAACACCACACTCTCTTGCGATGTCAAGTAAGTTGTCTGCATCCAAAACAATGGAAATTAAGCTTAATAATAAAACTAAAATGACATATTATAGTTATACTGACATTAATAATATAATACCTACAAAACAGGGAAGCTAATCTTGCAAGATAATCTAAGATAGAGATTTTGAAAAATAAATAAATAAAAAACTAATCCCGCTCAGTAAACTATAATATACTACATAATATTCAAATATCATATATAGTCTAACACCCACATTATTAAAGAAGATTAGGCTAGCTCTAGTCATAAAGTTATAGCATGGGATATGATCAATATTAGTCTCAAGACTATCCTAGGCACACCTGTACCAGAAACAGAGAATAGCTTCCTACATGATGTAATTTTATGAGAAACTATCACATTCTTCCGTTCAAGCATACCAAATTTTTATGAAATTGGTACCAGATAGGTCAAAATCTAGTAGAGTAGACTATAGTTTTATAATTTGGAAAACAATATGCAAGGTTAATGGTTTGCTAATAAAACACAGATTAAAATTAATGACATAATGCATTTTTAACATGACTTATATCATATCCAATTGAGTTCTTTAAATATATCATATTTAATTTTTATATTATTTTAAACAATTCAACTTTATTTTCCAAATATCTATACAATCCATCAAAAATTCTAAAATAAATCCTATCAAATTATACAATTAGTGTTGCAATTACAGCTGCCAATTAAACTACGCTCTCTCATGTAATAACGTTTGCGAAAGGCAATTCAACTACGCTGTTTAATATAACAATATTTGCGAATGTAGTAACGATGTTTTTGTTCAATTACCCATTGAAATTGCCACAATAGATTAATTTTATTGTTGTGTAGAAACTTTATAAACAACAGGTGATATTTATGCTCTAATAGGAAGTGTTTGCCATCTATCGCTCCCGAGGCATTATTACTGCCTGAAAATGTGAAGCTACAAAGCAACCTGGTTTTTTTCCAGTGGATTTGATAAATGCACTGTCGAAACAAACATATGCTAAGTAATGGCATAATCAATCTCAGCCATTGATACCCATTTCACTAATTTTGGAGGATGCAAGATGCATTACATTATGACAAAACTTAAAATAAAAGGATAATTTACAGTAACTTTTTGACCATAAAAAGGGTTTGTCTCAAGTAAAATAATAAGTAATAATCATGTGTATTTGTTCCCTCTAAAAACACCAAATCCCTAAAACCAATATCCCACAACAGACAATAAGAGATTGTCATTATTACTCTACCTATGTTTGACAATTACTTAGAATTTTACATTATACAAAAGGAACACATTTTTTATAGACAAATGATACCTCCAACAAATATGTCATGAGGTTTCACGATGACCCATTAAGGAAATGTGTCAATGCCTTGTCTGTATTATTGTCATGTATAACTAAGGTCTCCACAACGATGCTTGATGAAAATTTGGTTAGTAACCGTGGAGAGAATATTGTGGAGAAAATATTGTGGAGAGATAGTTGCAGTTATATTATTTTTTTCAACTTTTAAGTAGTTATTGAAATGATAAATAACAAAATGGTATGCAGTTACAATTTTCAAAATAGCAAAGGATAGTTTTGGAAGAAAAAAAAGGCTACACCAAAATGATGTTTTGCCTTTATATATTGTTATAGAAGATATAGATGTTATAGATTAAATATTTTATGAAATAAATTTTGTGAAATGAATTTGTGTTTTATAACTTAATTTTGCATTAAATATATGATAAATAAATATCAATAAAATAAAATAAAAAGTAAAATAAATGTATCTTTATTTATTTATACGAAGATCTCTCTCATTTTTAAAAATAACAATAAAAAACATAAAGTTATAGAAAATACATGGAATAAAATTCAACACTAATTATATCTAAATAGTTATGTCTAATAACTGCAGAAAATTATAAAATATGTTTTTTAAATTATGTCTATTATGTATAAATAATTATGTCTTATATAGTATTTTCATGCCTTTTAGGTTTAATTGTCTTTTTTTTTAAAGTTAATGTGTATAAAATATAAATAGTGATTTTTTGTATAACAAATTCAAGTGCAACATAGAAATGTCAAACAACTTATCACCAAATAGTTACTGCTTTTTAATTTCACTCGAATTATGATAGATTCTGTAATTGTTTCCACCAGCCAAACGTACAATAGAGCTTCCATACAACAATGGTTTAAATCAGGAAACATGCAGGGTTCAAAAATTGGAGAAAAACTTGTTTTTGTGGAGGTTTTCCCTAACACGACCCTCAAAATACTTATACAACGATTATGTTACCATAAGGAAAATCTTACGTCAAACAACTTATGAGTAATTTTGTTTCCATAATTGTAACCACGGTTAATCCCAACTTAAAGCTTAGAAACAATGTTGAATGGTTCAATAAAATACATTATCAATAACACTTATTAGAAAGTTGAGTCGCATTTACAATTTTTACATTGTAAATATTGCAGTTCATCTCAATAAAAGTAAAGTAATAACAATTAATTTACAAATATTCAGTAGATCTCTTCCTTTTCTATTTTTTACTTCAAAGACAACAAATCTTTATTTAAAAAGGGATTTTATTCAAAATGAGTGTGAAAATTGCAACGTAACTACATTTTTTATATAATAAAAACGAATATATTGATTAAAAAAAACAACGATAGTACAAATCTAGGTGATCCAGGGGGATCCAACCGACAAAACAGACTAAAAATTATAGCTTAAAATTAACAAAGTGTTTCCTAATCCTAATGTTGTTCCACCCTCGATAGATCACATAGTCAATGATGTTAGATACCGTGGTTGTATTATCTACAGTGTTTCCAAATTTTTTGTCATTCCTATATCCCCAGATGTTGTATATAGTTTCAGCAGCTACCATCCTCAAAATTTCAGCTTTCCAGCCCTTTCCCTTTGTTAACTTGGTGAGCCAAATCATCTCAGCATCCCATGGTTGAGGATCATGAGGGATGTTAAACGAATCGAGCACTTCCTTCCATATGTGACTGGTCACTTGACAAGAGAAAAAAAGATGATTCAGCGTTTCTTCCTCGGCTTGACATAAGTTACAGTTGCTATCCTCAAGCATCCCAAAGCGTTTCAACCTGTCTTTTGTCGCAAGCTTTCCGTAGCAAGCCTGCCATAAGCAAAAAACTGCACGTGGTCGCCCCTTGTTGAACTGAACCAGATTTCGCCACTGAACCCTTGTGCCATCATCAATCATCCCCTTATAAAGAACCGAGACTTTAAACTTATGTGCATTCACAATTTGATCCCAACCATTCCGGATTACACCCATGTTATCTCGATGTTTCAAAATACCTCGCATAATCCAGGAGTTTTGAGCTTTGGTTTCGTAATTCATCACATTTTTATCCTTCAGGTAATGAGTATGGATCCATTTAACCCACAAATTATCAGTTTTTCTGCAGAGATTCCAAAGACACTTCAGGAGCAGCACCTTGTTCCAAACCTGCAGATTCAGCAGATTTAAACCACCTTGAGCTGTCGGGCAGCAAGTGCGGTTCCAAGCCACGAGACATTTTCTGTTAATAGAATCCTTACCGGTTCAAATGAAACTACGACAAATGGAATCTATTTTCCTGATCACAGCTTTAGGCATAGGGAGGCATTGCATCCAGTATTGAACCGTTGCAGCCGCAATACTTTTGACTAGCTGAATTCTACCGGCATAGCTAAGGAGTCTAGATGACCAATGATGAATTCGAGCCACAATTTTATCAACCAAAGGCAAGAAGTGGTTAATGGTTAGCTTCTTACTTGACACAGGGATGCCTAGATATTTGAACGGCAGCGCACCATCTTGGAAACCCGACAGATCCTTCAAATTCTATCTACTCACATCGTCCAAACCCCCCACAGTATAATTTGCATTTGTTAGGGTTCATTATCAAACCTGTGGAATTGAAGAACTTTTTGAAAGTATTTAAAATCAGCTGCAAAGACATGTCATCTCCTCGACAGAACAGCAGTACATCATCTGCAAAAGTGAGGTTTGTGATTTGCAGCTTCTCACATTTGGCATGGTAGTTAAAATTTGGATCTTTCTGCATTTTCACCAACAGCCTATTCATGTACTCCATCATGAGGACGAAGAGCATAGGGGATAGAGGATCACCCTGTCGGATCCCTCTTTTGGCCTGTAAAGTATTAGTGTACTCCCCCATTATGCTAAATCTGTAGGAAACGGTGGTGATGCCTAGCATAGTCCACTGAATGAATTTGTTAGGGAATCCCATTTCCTTCATGATTTTAGACTATGGCACGGATCTAGAAGGGGGGGTTGAATAGATCCCAATTAAAATTTGAGTCGGCGCTACCAATTTAAAAATTGGTTTTGAAAATATGTTTTAAGTGCAGAAGCGGCCGGGGAAAATATAGTCTAAAACGAACAGTTATTGGAAAACCAGATATGCATTAAGCCTTTGGATTAATGACAATATGGAAAAGAGAATCACAACACTAATCACACTTATCAATGATCTAATTCACTTGTTAGGATTCCTAGTTCCAATGATTTAAAGAGCAAACCAAAACTAGATACACAAATAAGAGAATTTTAGTTTAGGCAATTTGTCGAACACTTGGCGTGCAAAAACACTCCAAGTGATATTTATGTTGAGTAAGTGATTCCAACTAGCCTAGTACAATGTCTTGTTGTACTTTGGATTCAAAAATAGAGTTTCAACCTCTTACTCAATTAATATCACAGTTTGACAATGGTGCTTATACAAAAATCACTTATTTTTAAGCTAAAACGAAAATGCTGAAAAATAGAGAAGACAAGTATTTGGTGAGGCAGTTCCCCCGTCGTCCTCGCTTCGGGGTACGTCTGCCCTCAATTCTAAAACTAGAATTGAGTTAGATTTAATAGATATCACCTGTTGAATGTAACAGTTTATACAAGGATTGAACATCAAATATATAACAGAATTCTCAATACGTTGAATGTTGCTTCCACTCCTTGCCCTTTGATTCAAGATGAATCAAGTCCTCCGATTGTTGTTGATAGACCTCCGATTCCAGCCACCTTATTGAATAACCCTTAGTTGTTCAAACCTTCGGCCCCGACTGATCTCAACTACAACAAATCGAACCCGAGATCTTCCCTTCAATATCACTGAATCCGCTACTAGACTGTTGAAGAACACCTCTTCACAATCACCTTCGCTCAGTTGACCCTTGATGAAGAATCTCGTACAAAAACCCCCAAAATTCAAACCAATCTTGGAGGATAAAACCCTAACGGTTTTATTCAAGAAAGAACCTGTCACAATCTTCAACCCGAACTAGATTACCCAATCTAAGCTTCGAACCTTATCACCTTTAATCACTCACAATGCACTTCAAAAATGGATGTGTGTAATTGATGTGTTGTGAGATGTTGAAGATGAAGATGGTGAATCTTGGACACCTATTTCACTCTTTCTTATTCTTGAACACATGAATCATTTTTTAAAAAATGTTTAAAATGACATAAGTGGTTGAACTTGTATATATAGTACCAGACCAACCAAAGACATAACAGCTTTTCAAATAATAGAGGGAATCACTTAAAAACTGTATTTTCGCGCGAACGGTCGACCACAGCAGGTCTGTGCGTCGACGCATAGCCTGCACTTTTGTAAATCTGCAAAATGTATCAGTATGCGTCGACCATACAGTCGGCGTGCGCTGACCCGTTGAAGAGTAATTTCTTCATGCGCCGACCCTGCGGTCGACTCAAACCTTCATGCGCTGACCAGTGTAAAAATGCACTGATGCATGCGCCGACCCTATGGTCGACTCATGCCCTGAAAACCTGCAAAAATTGAAATCTTGTGGTTTTTCATGCCTCTTGTTACGACCACATTTTATCTACACATATTATATTAATTATAACAGTTTTTAGACAAATGTAAAAGGATACGGTAGGTGATATGTTGCATTTGTTTGGTAGAGTTGGAATTTACAATTGCCAATTCATCCATGGTTGTAGTTCGTCATCATCGAAACCTATATCGAGTGATGTCTTGCAAACTTGTGTGATGTGTGGAGATTTGCCTTCACATTCTCCCCCCTTTTTGATGATGACAACCTGTATACAACCAAAACAACCAAAAACACAACAATATGCAATGTATACACAAGCTCCCCCTTTCTTTTGTAATTTGAGGCTGCAAAACAAACAACCATCAACTGTTGTGAACATCCTGGCTTTAGCTTTGGTACTTGCTACATGTTCTTCTCCCCCTTTGACAACATCAAAAAGAGAAAAAGAACTCGTCAATTAACAAAAACATACAATAGGTGATAGCGTAGTCAATTACCAAACTTCACACATAAGAGTGATAATGAACAAAAACTGGAATGAATAGATAAAGAAGTGAATACATGCAAATGGGCGAAATATTCAGACAAACATAACACGAAATAACAGAAAATACACAGTGAAAACATGCAACTATGTAACTAATATCCCTGGCCCCGACCTCGGCCCCTCCCCCGGTATGCAACATCTGGATTGCGGTGAGGATTCGAGAAGTCCACAAACGCTTCCACAGACATGTTGAGGTGATGGAGACTGTCGATGATTTCCATGTCTTGCCTCTCATTGGATGCAACAAGAGCTTCAAAGCGGGCATCCATCCTAGTTGAAAATGAATTTAACCGTTCATTTTGAGTACGAAGCTCAGCTCTGATCTGTTCCATTCGCGTATCTTGACTCCTCATAAAGGTTTGTTGATCTAACTGCATGGACTGCAGCATATTAAGTATTTCAGAGTTGTCCGATGGTGGAGGAGGTGATGAGTGCTGAGAAGGTTGATGATCTTGAGGGTAGCTGTGGTATGGATCATAGAATCTACCCAGGGTGGTCCAGCCTGTGTACTGCCACTCACCCCAGCCCTGATTTGTGTAACCTTCTTCCTGTTCTTCAGATGGAGCTGAATGCTGGAGCCAATCAGTATTTGGAATGTCATGTTGAATCGGTGATTGATAATAGTCTTGCGTCTCGCATACGGGTTCTTGTACCTCTTCCGCTGCATTTTCTTCATCATCTTCCTATTCATCTTGTTCTTCGCTTTCCTGTTCAGAACTGTCATCAGATTCATGAGTCACCCGAGGAATGTTTGCTCGACGGACAAACTTGTATGTTTGTCGTTCATCACACCAAAAATATCCCATCATGGTGAAGGTTTTGGTACTGAATTCTTTGTCAGAGGATACTGAAACACAAGGAAATGATGGGTATACAACATTTGTTGCGGTGAGAACTTCCGAAATAAACGACCCATAAGCTAGAGCAGTGCCTCGGCCTGAATCTCTTAGAGAAAAAATCCTACTTGCAATAATATGGCAAGTTTATTTTGATCTTATGTTTCAAAATATAGATGAGATGTACCTCAGCTTGTTCGACTCGGGACAGGCCACCTTTTTTTGGCCGCAGGATGCGAGCAACAATCCACTGAAGGATGCGCTCCCCTGTTTGGAGTTTGCCTGCCGTAACCGTTCTAGGAAAGGCCTCACTATTGACAATAGCATCCGAATAGGGCCTTTTGAGCATGTCATTCAGAGCACTCTTAAACTCGTATCCCGGCACAGTGCGAGAGTCCGTTACCTCATGAAGAGGTTGTGCATCAGCCGCTACAGTCAAATCAAAATACTTATTCCAGACTTCAGAATTTACGTTTACCAGTTTATTACCGACAGAGGTGTGGAAATATTGACTTTGAAAGTTGTCACGCAGACTAGTGTAGAACACCCGGACTAAATCCTCACTGTATTTTGTGTTGCACTCCAGAAAGTTGAAAAACCCCTGAAACTCCAGCAGAGACATAATTTAGGTGAGATGCATGCGCTCCTCCGTTTCCTGATAGAATGCATGTTGCGGAACGACTGCTCTCTTGCTGATATTCTTGTTGAAGTTGTCAACAGCAGGTGGTGGAACTAGTGAGACAACAGTAACGGGCACTGAAGCGGATGATGAGGCCCTTGATCTCTTTCTGGTATTTTTGCAAAATAGAGAAGCCATTGATGATGATTTTTGGAGATTTTGTAGAGATGAACTGCAATGCCTTTGGAGAGAGTAGTTGGAGATGAGTTTGGAGAAGATGAGAACTATCCCTTTTTATAGAAGAAGGTTTAGGGTTTTGGTAAGTGGGAGGAGACAAGGGGACATAATAGATGTCTAGATGCAAGTTACAAGAAAATCCACTTTCAAATCATAGTAAATGTTTACTGCACATTTAATGGAGAAGTGAAGAGATGGAACGGTTTTCAAAAGCAAAAAAAATTCTG